TCCGCATAACCCCTCCATGCCTGGGCAGCCCGCGCATGGGGGCTGCGGGAAGCACGGGGAGGCAGGGATCACGGCGGGGGGTAGCTTTGCCCCCTCCCTCGGGCTGAGCCCTGAGGTCCTGCCTGCCTGCAGAAGTGTTACAATTAGCAGGGGCTGGGCACGGACCTAGCCCTGATGGGGCAGGGCTTTGCTAAGCCCCCGGGCAGGGATGGGGGGCAGACAGGGGTCGCCCTCCAGCACCCTCCGCTCCCCAGGACCGTGAGGATGCAGGTGCCTGGGCAGCCCAGCCCCAGGCAGAGCCGGATGCGTTGGAGATTGGGGGTTCAGAGCTGGGCAGGGGGCTCCTGGCCTGGGCTCGGTGCCCGGCACTGCTGGGACCTAGCTGGGCCGGGCTGGGCTGGGAGGTCACGGGGCAGGCCGGGCTTTGTGCAGGGGAAGCACAAAGGAGCCAGACAGAGGCTGTTTGTTCTTTCCCCCCGCAGCTGCGCAGAGCTGGCGGTGGGGGAGGGAGGCCCATCCAGCTGCCTCTGCCCATCAGGCTTGACACGGGGCTGAGGACCCCGGAGCCCCTCGTCGCCACCTCCCCGTCCAGCCCGCTCTGCCCATAGGCGAGCCCAGGGTGGGTGCCGGGCCAGACCCCCGCATGACCCCTCTCGGCTGGGGCAGCAGCGCGGGCGTGTGAGCAGTGCCGGGGGCTTCGTGCACCCAGAGCCGGGGGACCCGGCCGTGCTGTGCACACTCCCGTCTGGGCTGGCAGGCGCTGCGGGAAGCCCGGGCCGTGGGGGTCTGAGCGTGCAGGGGAGGCTGAGGTCTGCTGGAGTGCAGAGGATGTGGGCAGCCAGGAAAAGGCCCAGGCCAGAGCAGGCCCCAGCCACAGGCGCCGGCTGCAGCCTTTGTCCCTTCCTCTCTTCCTTCCTGTGCTCAGCTCCGGGCTGCGCCGCACCACACCACGGCGTGTGGGGCTGGCCTGCAGCCGGACGGGTCCCAGCACAGACGGCCCCGGGAAGCCAAGCAGGCTGCGACGTGCCTAGGCTGTAACCGCCGGTGGCTTTCCCTCGCTCACACCCAACTGGTGCTCACCCTCTGCTCTCTCTGGCAGCGGCTGCGGATGAGGGAGACCCGGGGCCAGTAGAGGAGCCCGTCCTGTGGAGCCCCGCCAGCCCCAGCGCCGCCCGGCCTGTTGCAGCCCGAACCCTTGCAATGTCCCAGCCTCTCGCCTCCACCCTGCCCATCCCCGAGGGCCAGGAGGACACCAGGTGGGTGCCCCGACCCTGCTTGCCCCTGCTCCCAGCCTGCCCAGCCCTCTACCATGCCCATCACTCGGGCATCTGGGCTTCGTGGCATTCGCAGCAGCAGGGACTCCTGCCGGCTCTCCTCTGCCCGGGCTCCGG